TATAGGAATAGAAATAGATGAAAACAAACAAAGGAAAATATATAGACTAACACACGAGAATATAAGCATGAGAGAGGTGGAGGTAAATTATAAGTGTTTAACAAGATGGCACATTGCACCGAACGTTGAAAATAAGATGAGTGGGGAGAATACACCAGAGTGTTGGCGGGGGTGTGGAAAGATAGGTACGGTATATCATATATGGTGGGAGTGCCCAAAGATTCAAGGTTTCTGGGAGACAATAGTTAATTTGATTGGGATGGTCTCTGGGACAAAGATAGGTTTGGACCCAGAGTTGTGTCTACTACATAGTTCAGAGCTATCAGTGAATAAATAAAAGGGTATATGGTAGTATCTGAATGTGGCAAAGGGTCTGATACCTAAGTTTTGGCATAGCTCAGAGGTGCCGAGAGAAGAGGATTGGGTGGAAAGAGTGAACCAGATAAATAGGATGGAGAAATTGTATTATAGGCAAGAAGACAAGATGGGGTTATATAATAGGAGGTGGGGAAAATGGGAAGATTTTGTGTCCAAGGTGAAAAATATGAAGTAGCAGAGTGGGATAACAGAAAGTACATATTATTTAGGAAAAGATGTAATGAGAAATGCAGAGTGGGTGGTTTTACTCGTGGGGGGGGAGGTTGGTTTTTTGGGGAGGGTGGAGGTATTAGTTAGGGGGGGGGGGTGAAGGGAATAAAGATAGTAGGGGGATTAAGATTGAAAGGGATATAATTAAGGTGTAATGGACCACCTGACAGTACCTCTATCAGTCCCCCCTGATAGAGCCTCCCCAGAGTGCGGAGTCTAAGTACCGGAGCACTTGTTCACCAGGACCCCTGATGGTGGGGATGGACTTGGAGCGCTCCGGGACCAGGTCGCAGCTGCTAGGTATCTCTACCAGAGATAGAGGAGTCTGCCAAGGGCTCCAGCGGGTTAAGAGTCTGATGTGAGGGAGCCCAGGGATCCCTGAGGGATGGATGGACGGATGAGCAAAGTCAGAGTCAAACAAGCTGGGTCGGTAACTAGCGGGTCGGTGAGGTACAAGACGATAGGCAAAGGATAGTCGGGTCACACGCAGGGTCAATACCAAAAGATCAGATCTATAAGGGAACATCCAGGAGCAGAGTCAGGCAAGCCAAGAGGTCAGGACAGGAGAAGGCAACAAGGTCAGACAGTCCAGATCAGAGTACTCAAAACACAGGCAACAGGATACAAAAGACCATTCGGCAACAAGCGTCTGTGCAGGGCTGGTTTAAGTAGCCCGCCCTGCACCTGACAGGCGCCGCCTAGGTCCCAGTGCCTGCCTAGTACTGTCAAGACGACGGGTGCGCCTGGGTCCTAGTGCCCTGCTACCTGCACGTCTTGACAGACGCCTATGCATAGACCCATGCGTCGTGATGGTCCCTGACATAAGGGTTTAAATATATCTGAAAAAAAAATACGATCACTGGGTTGGCTTTCTTCCAGCAGGAGCGTCAAATCTCTGAGGGCTTTGAAATCACTGCTGGAGAATTGCTACCAATCAAAAGATCCAGTGGCATTGTCAGATTTTTCATGAGCACATCTTAGGGAAAGTTTTCTGGCAAAAAGTTGTAACTGCTTAACTAATTTGAACTCATCTGTATTTTGACATGGACAAAAACTTAGCCCGCAAGAAAGAAGATTTTCTTCTAATTGGGTCAAGGCATATGAGGACAAGTTGACAATATTCAATGTAGAGGTCAATTTCAGGTCAGGTAATGTTCTATCCACCGGCCCGATCTCCCCCTGCAGAGGGCTGTATCCCCCAAACCACCTAGGACGTCTATCCCATTCGTTATGTTCCCCTCCAATCATAAGCTTCATAAAATGTCAGGTATCTCTAAGGAATTTAGTTGATTAAATGCTATTTTTTAATTGTGTGAGTGTTAATTAGCACTATGTCAATATACTGTGTAATTTTTCCTGGGGTCATTAAAAATGAATTTAGGATGAAATGATCATTAAACACAGACTATGAAAAACTGTCATTACATGCTGTATAACAAATTGTGCATACTCACAAAGCCACTAAAGCATTCACTTGGTGTAGAGTTAAATATACCTGGTTGATCCTACTTTCAGCTCTCCCTCCAATATTTTCTGTGTTCCTATTTTAGCCTGAGTTGTGTAGACCAGCTGGTATCCTCTGCTGGGCATGATCTAGTTGCAGTTCCCTTCTAAGCTCTTCATTTCCTCTGTTTTCTTATCTGTGCCGCCCACATGTCTATAAAGTCACAGGTGGACCTATGTTTACAGTGGTAAATGACTCTTCCCTCCCTACTCCTCCTATTGCTAAACACTATGGGAGTGGGATATAGTATGCTGAGTGATCACATTCACTAGGAAACAAAAAAAGCTTAGTTTTAACATAAATCGATATCAAATATATCAAATGCAATTGCTAATGTAAAATAAGGAGCCTTGGATTTGAATGCCATCTGAGTAAAATGAAAGCTAGTGTCAATCATCTTTGATTCTGCTTACACTATATTCATGCACCAAAAAAAAATTGATCAATAATTTTTGATATTTATAATGTAATTTGAATTGTTCTTCTGAAACTGTTTTTTTCAATCATATGACTGGCACAGTACCAATCAGGACTGGCCAGACACAGACTCAAAAAACAGGGAAAGCTCATGTGACCACACAACAGAGCTGCAAAAATAAGGTACTTAGAGTATTTTTTTTAACGAGTTCCTGCCTGCCCACAGTACATATATTGTGGACAGGGAGGCACAAGCAGGCTGGATCACATATGCGTACATCATCTAGCCTGTTCCGGGTTAGGAACGTGCAGAGCACCACCCTTGTGACCTCTTAGTCCACCGGACACAGCGGATTACAATTACGGTAACCATGTACTTGGTATCATTTGATCGCTATGGTTGGTCATAACGATCATATGACTATGATGTAAACAAAACAGTCATGAATAGTTTCATGACTGCTTGCTTAGTGTTGTGAAACTGTGATTGGCTCACAGCTATCACATGGTATCAGCTACCTGTAACACATGATTAGCTGAGGCCAATCACAGCATGTCAACAGTAACAAAGCTGTCATGAATGTTAACCCATTCAACACATCAAAAACTATTACTTATAACAGTCAACTTCACTGCTAAAAGCAATAACAGTGTTAAAAAGCATTGTTAACCTTCCCCTAATCTCAGAGTAGTTTAGTAGATTTTTTTTTTTTTTTTTAACCAGTCCGTATCCCTGATCACTGCCACACCAGTCATGTGCTGACACTGTACTGCACTGGTGAGAGTAGGTAAAAAAATTATGAAAAAACACATTTGATTTCTTCATTTTCAAAAAAATAGTGACAATTACAACTTCAAAAACACACCATGCCTCTTACTAAATACCTCAGACTATCTACTTTCCCAAAAAGGGGTAATTTGGGGGGTATTTGTACTGTCCTGGCATTTTTTTAGGGTCTTATGAATTATCAAACATACAGTATATTATAGTTTGTAGACCCAATAACTTTCACACAAACCAAGTAATATATACTTATATTATTGGAGTTGTTTACTAAAGACATGTAGCGGAATACATTTTGGCCTAAAATGTATGAAGAAATTAGATTTTTTTAATATGTTTTATAACAGAAGGTCGAGGATATTGTTTCTTTGGTCTTTTTTTTGTTTATATAATAAAAAATAAAAAAAAACAGTGATGATCAAATACCAACAAAAGAGAGATCTATTTGTGTGAAGAAAAAAAAAATTGAATTTGTGTACAGTGTTGCATGATCGCACAATTGTCAGTTAGCAAAATGCTGAATAGCAAAAAATGCCCTTTTCATAAAGGAGATAAACCTTCCAGAGGTCAAGTTGCTAAAGAAAATAAAATACAGTGCTATAGTTACATAGTTAGTCTGGCTGAAAAAAGACAAAAGCCCATCCAGTTCAACCATTGAAGAAACAAAAAAAGTTATAATCCTATACCCACAGTTGATCCAGAGGAAGGCAAAAAAAAAAAACCCAGCAAAGCATGATCCAATTTTCTCTTGCAGGGAAAAATTCCTTCCTGATCCACGGATATGATATGTGAATCATGGCAACTAACACTTCTCTGTTTAGTATCACTTTAAGATGAACACAGCCAGTGTCAGGATCGTGTAAATGCTCCCATTCTTTGACAACTGCTGGCCTCATTCCAGTATCCTAGTTTTGGCTATGATGCATCCCTGTCTGTCTGTCCACTTGCAAGGTGATTGATGTGGCCAGTCTCTGGATGGAGACCAAACCTGATTTAAGCCAGCCAAGCCTGCAGTCTCATGCTTGTGATATTGTGTTTGTAATGCTGCAAGCTCCCTGTCTGTCCTGCTCTGCAGTTTGGATTCCCTCATGAAGACCTCGGATCGAATATAGACTACTCTCTGAACTCTTCCTGCCTTTTGTTTACAGATCTGGCCTTGACTATCTTGAGCCTTGCCTGCCTTGTGCATGGACTGTCATTGAACCACTCTGCCTGTGCCAACCACAAGTACCTGTTTTCTGTGATCAGCTTGTGCCTGCATCAGCATGGTACACAGGCACAATAGCATTGAGTATAAGCCCTGGGGGTAACCAGGTACTGGTAGACCTACGTGCCTTGTGGGAAAGGGAGCTGTTATAGGGGAAGAACACAAAAGTCAGCTATAGTGCCTGACCACCTGCATTAGGGGCAAGTATGACAGCCAGGCAATTGAAGATCACCAAAAGTCAGATCATTAAATTGATACTTTTAGCACACTTTAAGCTGTAAAATGATGATGTTGCATTGATTAAATCTGGGACAGCGCAGCCGGATTCAATTCTCTCGCTGTAGTTGGTAAATTAATAACTAAGGAATAAATTGTAAAGTCTTTTTGTGTGTGGATTGTGCAAGATAGATGCATTGCTGTAAGGTAGTCAAAAATTTAAGTGGTGGGTGGTCATGAGCAGAATCTCAGGATTTTAATGTGTAGGAATTGCCTAAGCCAGGGCTTGAAATTTCCACTCGCCTGCTCGCCAATGGCGAGAGGAAATTATGGTGGGGGCGAGTGTGTCCCCCAGGGCCGTCTTACTGAGCAGGCTCAGAGCTCAGGCCGGATTTGTCATTGGCACTGTGAGCCGTCAGACTGCTCAATAGCTGAGCGCAGTGAAAGCAAAGACTGTGTGCTGTGCTCTCTGCCTCCCCCTAGAGTGCAGTACACAGCTCTGTGAGTGAACAACAAAATACTGCAACTTTTTATGGGGAGGGGGTGGTGTGTGTGTACGTGTACATGTGTGTGTAATTGTGTGTGTCTGTGTATGCATGTACAGTTGTACATGTGTATGTACATGTGTGTATCTGTACATGTGTCTGTGTGTGTGTACATGTATGTGTGTGTATGTACATGTGTGTGTGTGTGTTTATGTACGTGTGTGTGTGTGTGTGTGTGTTTATGTACATACATGTGTCTGTGTGTACATGTGTCTCTGTATGTATGTACATGTGTCTGTGTGTATGCACATGTGTCTGTGTGTGTGTATTTCTGTGTATGTACATGTATCTGTGTGTATGTGTGTCTGTACGTGCCTGTGTGTGTATACATGTGTCTGTATGTGTGTGTGTACATGTCTCTGTGCATGTGTGTACATGTTTTTGTGTGTGTATGTGTGTGTGTATGTACATGTCTGTGTGTGTGTACAGGTGTCTGTTTGTGTGTGTGTGTTGGTGGTGAGTAACTCTAAGGCCTGGCTAGTAGCTCAGGACTTGAAATTTTAAGCCCTGGCCTAAGCTATGGCTTCAATGTCTTCTAGTTAGCAGAGAGCCTGTAGCTATGTTGAGTGAGATATGCGAGTTTGAATTCCATTTTAAGCTTGCAGTAGCTATACGATTGTTTGGCTTTTCAGACAAGATGTTTGGAATGACAGCTTTGTCTTGTGTAATGGTGATGTGGCTATTAAGAATCAATTTAGTCACATAACTGACAATACTGATAGAAATGTCAGTATATGGGTGAAACAAACGAACGTAAAAAACAAAAGAATAGCTTGTAACAAAGTGTAACGCCTACTGTGCTCAGAGACCTTATTACCTCTCTTCCTGCCATTAGAGGATTTATTTAATTTTTCCTTTCAGTAGAGTTAAAAGAAAAAAAAAATGTTTTTAAGGGATACATTTGGAACCACTGTCATGTGTACAGGTAGAAGCATAAAGTAAATGACTAGCCAGTAAAAAGCAGTCCTGCATTAAATAGAAAAACTGTAACAAGTAGTTTGTATGTCAAAAGGTACATTAATCATGTTATAACAATGAAGCAGTATGGGTAACAGGAGAAAATCCATAAGCCTATATCATGGAATTAGGTGTTGGTGAATGAGATGTCAGTGGATAATATTCACCGAGCAAAGAACCAAGCAAAAGAGTACATAAGAACAAACCACCAGTCATCCCTGTGGAAGAGTCAAAAAAAAAAATGAAAGAGAGGGAGGGAGAAATAAGGGGGGATATCAAGAGCACTCAAACCTCAGCCCCAGGGTCTCATTGTCTATAGCAATGTGTAACTGGCTGTTGATATAGAAGGGTGGGTTCCATATTTTAAGAAATTTCTCATGAGTATCCAAATTAATACTGGAGAGCTTTTCATTAATAAAAAGAAATCTTAAGTGGTTGTGAACTTCTGTAAAAGGTATGCAGTGTTGTTTCCAAGCTATTGCTATAGTTTGTTTTGCTGCCAGTAGTACATAAGTAGCCAGTTTAAATTGGTATATGGTGAGGCCTGGGGGTTTCAGGTGCAGTAGGATATGCCACGGGTCTCTTAGAAAGGGGGAAAGGGGCAGGTAATAATGATTGTAGGAGTTTAGGTACTTTTGTCCAGAATCGGGAGAGCATGACCACCATATATGGAGCACGTCTTCTAGAGTAGAGCATCCCCTGAAACAGATGGGTGAAGACGTGCTAGGCAAGACAGGACCAGATACCACCTCATGACAGTTTTAACCACTAGGGGACCGCCTGTAGTAAATATACTGCTACAAGGTGGCCCCTGTACGCAGGATCACGTATATAAACGTGATCCTGCATTCTGGGGTAGGGGGTGTGTGTCCGCACAAGTATTGTCCTGCAACCACCAAGAATTCGCACACAGGCCCATAGAGGTCCTAGTATCCTTCCGATTGGCAACCCACAAATTCTGCAGCACCCGTACTTCCCCCATTCACTGCAAACTCGGAATTCAGGTGGAAATAGCAAATTTAACTACTCCCCTTGATTTTTTGGAGCTGTTTTTCACGGGAGATCTGTATGTATTGATTGTGGATCAAAGCACAACAATGTATCGCCACCAACCAAAATTCAAACCTTGCCAGACCATTCGCATGGAAACCCAGTACGGTTTTCAAATTTATATTTTTTTGGGGACTAACCCTCAATAAGGGCATTACTAAAAAAAATGAATTGCGGTTGTATTGGTCCACAGACCCGATTCATCATATGCACGTGTTCTCTGCTGCCATGGCCAGGCATAGATATGAGAGTATAATGTGTTTTATGCATTTCAACGACAATACACTCTGTTGTCCTTGAGATGACCCTGAATTTGACTGACTACACAAAATTCAGCCCCACGTAAAACACCTTAACCAAAAATTTGCAGATGTCTATACTCCCCAGCAAAAAAATCTGCATTGATGAGTCCCTCATTAATTTTTCTGGCCGCCTTGCATTCAAACAATTTCTCCGCAGCAAGCGTGCCAGATATGGGGTCAAGATTTAGAAGACCTATGAGAGGACAACAGGCTATACTTATAAGTTTCGGATTTATGAGGGAATAGATAGTCACGTGGAGCCCCCCCCCGGATGCCCAGACTACATGGGGAGTAGTGGCAAGATAGTTTGGGACTTGGTGTCATCCTTTTTCCATATGGGGTACCACTTATACGTGGACAATTTTTATTCAAGCGTGCCACTATTTAGACATTTGTACAATCTTGGAACTGGAGCATGTGGTAAAGTGTGACCTAATGTGTGCCCACCATTAGAAGTGGGTGGATGCAGGGTGGTATATTTTAATGAATGAGGAAAGAACAAACAGAGGACGCACAGGCCTAGTGCATTACCATAAAAAATGTTTATTACAAAATAAAGTAGGTGTTTGTACTCACAAACGACAATAAAGTCAAGGCGCGTCATAAAAGAACAGCTGGGTCAACACCGCGCTGAGTAACAGTCCGCAATAGGGAGTGTAGACATCCAATAGGCTGATGCGTTTCGAGGACTTGCCTCTTCCTCAGAGCCACTTTCTGCTAGGAGAGTCAAAACTAGTAGTTGGAATGTCATAGCTCCCTTTGGGTATTTTATAGGAGTCGATGCTGTTCGTAAAACCCTTTGCTAAGGACAGGTGTCTTAATTCCCTTTCTTCAATGGATAATACCATACTGCTGTGCAGATGATGACTGTGATGATTGAGTCTCTAGATCCCGAGCAGCTGGAGTCCCCTTGAGAAAACAAAGAAACAGCAAACACAAATGTTCCTGCGCTTGGGGATGGACTCGATGCAGGCTACAACCACATTAAGAATGTCCTGGAACATGCACACCTTGCTGCCCTCAATAGACCGGGAAATCCAAATATACTAAATGAGGAAAGAACAAACAGAGGGTGCACAGGCCTAGTGCATTACCATAAAAAAATGTTTAAAAATGTTTAATAAGAAATAAAACAAACAACAATAAAGTCAAGGCACGTAATAAAAGAACAGCTGGGTCAACACCGCGCTGAGTACCAGTCCGCAATAGGGAGTGTAAACATCCAATAGGCTGATGCGTTATAAAGACTTGCCTCTTCCTCAGAGCCTGAGTGGCTATGAGCACTTCAGTTTCACAGGATATGAACAGCGCCATTTGTAAATTGGGAAAGCATTTGATCACACCGATCTTGGTTTGATTAGATAATGTAAGGGCAGAGGAGATATCTAGACTCTGATAGAACCTAGATTTCTCAAAAGAGAATATATGACAATGCACATTGAAGTTATAGGGATATTTGCATTCCCTGTGATAGCATTAAAAGTGATCAAAAAAAAAAGAAACCGTGTAAAAATAATAAAAAAAATCAAAATAACTGAAAAAAAAAAAAAAAAGTACTCTCACCACTCCCCCCCCCGCGAGCGCACGAGCGCACGTGCGCACCTGCGTTCGTGAGCCGTGACCCTGTGCCAGTATGGAAACAGCAGTTGCACCATGCATGTGAGGTATCGCCACGAACGTCAGATCAAGGGCAGTAATTCTAACACTAGACCTCCTCTGTAAATCTAAAATGGTAGCTTGTAAAGGCTTTTAAAACATTGCCTATGGATATTAAAAATGTATGCAGTTTGTCGCCATTGCACGGGGCATGCACAGTTTTAAAGCACGCCATGTTTGGTATCTATTTACTCGGCATACCATCATCTTTTATATTTTACCAAATAATTGGCCAATATGTTGTGTTTTTTGTGCATTAAAAGTAAAAAAAGTGTATTTTTTTTTAATTGCTTTTGAAAAATCGCTACACTAGTACTATGTGACAAAAAAAATTGCAGCACCCACCATTTTATTCACTAGGGTGCTTGCTTTAAAAAATATATAATGTTTGGGGTTTAAATTAATTTCCTAGCAATAAATACTGATTTTTTTCAAGTGAACAAAAGGTGTCAGAAAAGGCTTGATCTTAAGGTGGTTAGAAGAGTGAATGATGTGTGGCATAAACTCCTAATGCTGGGCATAAAATGCCCCCACCCCCCAAAACTACCCCTTTTTGGAAAGTAGACACCCCAAACTATTTGCTGAGAGGCATGTTGAATCAATAGAAGAATTTATTTTTTTACCACAAGTTTTTGGAATATGACAAACAAAATATGTTTTGTTTTTTTTTTACACAAAATTGTCACTTAAATGATCTATTGCTCACACATGTCATGGGTATATGTGGAATTACTCCCTAAAATACATTCTGCTGCTTCTCCCGATTATGGGGGTACCACATGTGAGAGACGTTTTGGCAGTCTAGCCAAGTAGAAGACCCTAAAATCCAATCAGCACCTCCAGGCTTTTAAAGGGCTTTATTTCCTCATTACACTTCCTGACTACCTATCACAGTTTCGGAGGCCCTGAAATGCCAGGATAGCACCAACCCCTCCCAAATGACCACTTTTTGAAAAGTAGACACCCCAAGGAATTTGATAAGAAGCATGGTAAGTATTTTGCAGATCTCATTTGTTGCCGCAAGTTTTTGAAAATTTAAGAAAAAAAACAAAAAACATATTTTTTCTTTTCTTTTTTTATATTTCAAAACCTTGTGAGAAAAAATTAGATCTTCACAATACTCACCATGCCTCTTTTTAAATTCCTTGGGGTGTCTACTTTCCAAAAAGGGGTAATTTGGGGGGGTTTGGTGCTATCCTGGCATTTCAGGGCTTTCGAAACTGTGATAGATAGTGAGGAAGTGAAATGAGGAAGTTACGCACCTTCAGGCTTTCAAAGTGGTCATTGGATTTCAGGCTCCTGTATGTGGCTAGGCTCCCAAAAAGTCTCACACATGTGGTATCCCAATACTCAGTAGAAGTAGCAGAATGTATTGTAGGGTGTAGTTGCACATGGCTTGTGCGAGAAATATATAATTTAAATGACAACTTTGTCTAAATAAAAAAAAAAAATAAAGATTTTTGTAATTTTCCAGAAACTTGTGGAAAAAAA